GCAAACACCAATGGCCCCTTGGTGTGTTCGGTGATTTTGGAGTCTCTGCACTTTAGGGCAGTGGAGTTATTGATTTTTATTTGCCACGATTTGCTGTTTTACCATTTACAGACGGTTCCTAACCACTCGCCTGGCCGCTGCCTGTGCATAGAGATCCATGTGATACATCCAGCTCAGAGAACGGCTCGTTTTTCTCGAAAATAACGCTTTTTGGTTCTTGTAATATGTAGTCTGTGCTATCAGGACATGAAAGAGGCGCCATTTGTGTTTCAACAACGAGAGTTCTTGATCCCGGGAGTCCGAATCTGTGAATATCTTTCTAACTTTACCGAAGTATGGTTTTGCGAGGGAACGCAAGAGAAAAAAAAATTCCCAATGTCCCCTAGGGGACTCCGTAGGACAGAACCAATGATGGCGAGCCGTTATTTTTTTTATTTAAAAAAGAAATAATTTGCAATTTTAATGTTTTATTTAGATTACATAAATAAATCGTAATAAAAATGATCCTGTTTATGAGTTTTAAAAATTGAGACCTACGAAAAACTGATTTAAGACATTTTAATACCAATTAAGGCCTTAGTTTTATTTTAAAGAATTCAATGCCTTTTAAGGCGTTTTAAGGACCCGCGGGAACCCTGGCCCATTCTGAGTGAAACAAAGTCCAGTCCTTTTATTTTCTAATTATATAATTTTATCAGTAAAAAAAAAAAAAAACTTCCATTGGCAAGTCATCTAATTTACCTGCTCAAATTAAGGCTACATACAGTTAATTTAAATGTTTGACTTATTTCTAGATTGTTTTTGGAATTTCTGTTTAAACTACTAAAAACTGACGGTTATTTTACAAATGGATTTATCTGTCTATTATTTTTTTGATTAATAATCGGATAACCAAAGTTTCCTGAAGAAGAACTTTTACAAAATTAAACCAGGGGAAACTAGGGCTGGGCGATATAGAAAAAAAGCTTATCGATAAAAAAAAATGCATATTGATCGATATCGATAATTATTGAAAAGATTTGAAACCATATTTTATGTGCAGCTCTGCCTGGACTTTTTATAATATTGCTAAATGATTTAATTGTAATAAAAAACAAACACAGACTTCAAATTAAATCTTTATTTAACCAACTTTTTTAACCATAACAGAATTGTTTTAAAGAAAAATAACTTAAGAGACCTGAGTTATGTTATTAAATACTGACAAAGAATAAACTAAAGTGACCAGAAAAGTGACCAAAATAAATATACCGTAACAAATAAATAAATGCCCCGCCGCCGCCGCCCCCGTTTCCTGCTTTAACCTGAGTTATTACTTTGAAGTTTCTGGCCCCTCTGCATTTTTATCTCAATTGTTAGAACTACGTGGGAAACTGCCCAGAACTGAAAATATATATATATATATTTTCCCGAAATTCCCGAAGATTCCTCGGAGGAGAGCCGCGTCGGGGCCTACACAGCTCGTACTCCTGCGGCTGTGAGTGGCTGAGATGAGTTTTCACTGGTTCCCGACACATTTTCCAGATGACTGTGGTTTGTTTTTGGTCCGACTTGCCATGACCGAAATACTGCCAGACTGCCGAATTACAAAAACCTTTCTTTGGAACAATTTCCTCCGCCTCTCCTTGCTGCACAGCTTCATGTGCTCTGTGTTGTGGTTTAAGAGGGCGGCGCTTTGTGACGGCGTGCCTGGGTCCGCGATTGTGATTGGTTGGGAGGAAGCAGTGACTAGCATAAACCTACATGCTAGGCTACAATGAGAAGGAAGGAAAACTGCGTTTCTTTTTTATCGAACTTTTATCGACCCTCTTTTTTTCTATTGCGCCACACGTCTATCGATCGATATATATCGTTATTGAATTATCGCCCAGCCCTATGGGAAACTAAAACTTTTCAACTGGAGGAGTTCTGGATAGAAAATATTGACGAAGAAAAAGGTTTATCAATTTTGGTATAATTCCTGCTCTGAGTGGGTCAGTCTGTCAGGTACAGAATATTTTACAGTCTCTATACTCCAGATAACGATTCATCTGATTCCAGCCCTAGTTTCGTCACCATATTTTCCATGGCAGACATTTGAAATTCAGATTTTCCAAGCTTTCAGTGAACGCACCGTTTCCTTAGCATTCTTAAAACTAAAAAGATGGCAGCTGTCATCTGTTATCCTATCCAGCGGTTTGTCCGTCTGAGTCCAGCTTACAGGGGGGCGGGACAGGAGGATCCTGAGGTACCGGGCCGCCGTCTCATCCTGACCCGGTATCGACAGCGGTGTTGCCTTCTCCTCCACCGCTCGATCACTCCTTTCTCCGCTTCCTGCTTGAGCGACACCCGACGCCACCCCTGCGACTGCATCTGTCTGCGTGTTTTTCTGCAGCATCTGCAGGCAGAGACGGCGCGCTCGGGTCAGGTTTCACATCGTCCCTTCCTTCCTGAGCGACGGGGTCCCTGGGAGGATCTCAGGTTGGTGTCGTCTGGCTGCGCGGCTGAGTGTTGGCGGGACAGGCGGCGCTGATATCTACATGTTTACGGTTAAACTACTCTGTGATGCACACAAACAAGCAGACGGACCCTGGAAACGCTGCTCCTCTAACAGGTCTGTCACATCTGAATCGTTTTTCACCCCAATCTAGTTTATTTCACATGATGCAGAAGGCAGGGAAATAATTGGAAAGGGGCAAACCTGAATATTTCAGAGCTTCAGACGTTCTGAAAGCTGAAACTTTCCCATAATTACTGATCAGCAGCAAACTTGGACATGTTTGGATGCAGCGAAGCTGAAAGATGTCCTGATCTGGATCTGACACTGGTTTCATGACGAACCAGGAGCTTCTGAAAGCTTAATGAAGACAAGTTAGAAGCTTGAAGAAGAAAAAGCTACAGCGCCCCCTCCAGGCAGGGGGAGTTTAGGCCTTAATCTGAGTCTAAACTCATCGCAGAGGGATACAGACTGATGGATCTGAACACTGAGCTCTATTCACTGGATTCCTGATTGCCCGAACAAAGTGAAGCCACCGTCCGCCATGTTGGTACTCCCCACTCCAACAGAGACGTGCAGTAAAATGCCTCCCTGTTCAGCATTTAGCTGCTAAAACCAGCAGTTTTCTGTCTACAGGAAGACATTCCACTGGTAATTTCCCAGTCAGTGGATGAACTAAGCAATAAATCCATCTACAGCCGATGGATCCTATAGTTTAGTCTGTAGACTAACATTAGTCTCAGACTGACTGGAAGACATTGACTGAGTTAGACATTGACATTGGGTCTAACGTTAGAAAATAGAAAGTAATTCACTGAGATGTTAATGTAGTAAATCTTTATTCAGTGGATGATGATGTCGTTTTTGGAAAGTTTAGTTTATTTCTCATATGAAAAAGTCATGATGTGTTAAAATATATTGAATGTTAGATTGATGAAAAAATAAATCTAAATAAGTATATCTTTTCTTTAATTGAGGAGGTAAGTGAGACATTTTGCCAAAGGAACGAGACAAATTACATTTAAAATAAGAAAGAACAATTGCATTGTCTTATTTCACTACATATTATCTAATTATCTTATTCTAAGTGTAAAAATACTCATTCCATTGGCAGATCACCAACTCGGATTAATGGTAAATAAACTTCATTTAAGACATTTTTGATCATTTCTAGATTGTTTTTTCAGTGTGTATTTTTAATTCAGTCTTTATGTAAAATCTTTCAATAAAATGTAAGATGTAATTACCATTAAAATATAACAAATTCATGTATATTACATCTACATCATTGATTTAGCTCTTTGGGCTCATCTATATTATTCTGCTCCATTAATACATTCATTTTATTGTGATGGGTTTATATAATATGTTATATTAGATGATGTATAGACTTCATAGACTCCATATGTGACGTGCCTTTTTATTTTATTATAAGTAAAGTAATCTACTGGGAAAAAAAACAGTCTAGAAATAAGTAGTAATTTCTTAAATTAAGTGTATTTACCCTTATTTTGAGTAGATAAATGAGATGATTTGCCAATAGAATGAGTATTTTTACTGTTAAAACCAGAAAGTTAGATACGGTAATTTGCACGGTAATGCAATTGTGTTTTCTTATTTTAAATGTAAATTGTCTCGTTCTATTGGCAAAGTGTCGCTTTTACCTCCTCAATCCAATAACAAATGCGCTTATTTTAAGAAAAAAAATGACTTCTCTAGTTTTTGATTTTTTCCAGTCTGTGTCAAAGTGATGAATGTACCTATTTTTAAAATATTAACTCCCTCGTGAAAAAGACAACATCGTGGTTGTTTGATGCTGTAGCGCACGGATTGTTTACACTGCGGCCGGTTCAACTTGGGAGTACCAACATGGCGGCCGATGGCTTCACTACCAGCGGGCAATCAGCGATCCAGGGAATAAATAGAGATCAGTGGATCTGAAGTAAAGCTGTGGTGAAGAAGCTAGAAGGTGGAGCTCTAGAAACGCGGGTCTGTGTGCTTTTATACCCGAACCTGAGCTCAGGAGATCCTGGATCGAAGCAGCAGAAGTTACTGCCTCTTAGAGAAAGACTGATCCATCATCTGAGGGAGATTAGAAAGAAGCTGAGAGGAACGTCCTGGTTTGCTGTCTGAACCATTACATCCTCAGCTGGAGGACTTCCTCTGAAAGATGAGAGTCTGATGCGGCTTCAGGCAGCGGGCTGGTGTTGGTGTCTGTCAATATGACAGACGGCTGGTCTGAAGGTGAAAAGAGCTGCAGCGAAGGATCTCTGGACCGAGCTAACCAACGGAAACACGTCGCCGCCGAGCAGCAGGCGGATCGGTCCGAATGCCGCTGCGAACGGCGCTCCTAAAGACCCGAGCGGGCGCCTGTTTACAGCGCGCACACACAGACAGGGATGTGTGCGGCTGTCAATCTGTGTTTACTGTGTGTGGACAGGTTTCTGCACCAGTTAGCGTCTCAAAGACGGGGACTCTGTCAGTCCCTGTACGTCAGACTGTTGCTGCTTGTAGATGTGCTCACCCATGCTGTTGGTGGAGCTGCACCACATCAGCAGACAGCCGGTACACAGCAGGTTGAGCGCTCCGAACAGCAGGATCCTCCACGACTGGAAACGACAGGAAAAAAACAGAAGAGGAGAGCTGTGAAACATCAGGAGCAAAATGTCTGCATCTGTTAGAGAGAACTTTACCGTTACAGAGAAAAAAAAACAGCAGAAAACCATTAAAGGTTCATGTTCTGTAGAATCTAAAATGAAAATAACAGAAAAACATGTGCAGGATGTTAAACTTCCTTCTGTTAGAGACGTTTGGATCAAAGCTTTAACGCTTTAGAGACGAATCAGTGAAATACTTTGAAAATCAACATTTCCAGCCAATAGTTTTATTGGAATCCAGGACAAAACTTTATTAGCTTTGGAACAATAAAAAAAATGGAGATTTTAATGGAAAAAATGAAAATCAATGTAACAACAAGAAACGCCGACTTGCCAAATATATTAAGAAAAATAACAAAAGAAATTCATGAAAAAAAAACATTTTTGTTCCAACATAACATTAATGCTGATAGTGGCACATGTTTTTAGTTAATAAAGTTAAATATAATTGTTTAATAAGCTTATTAACTTTTTAACTTTTCAATTAGATTTTTACCTTTTTGTCTTGACTTAATTTTCCAACTTATTTTGGCAATTTGGTGAAATTGCCAAAATAAGACGTACAATGATGTAAAAGGATCTTTGCTGAATGGCTGGATATAGATCTTGTGATTCTAGACCTCACTGAGGGACGAGGGGACTCCATTTCTATGAGGTATGCAAGGGATCAAAAACGCTAACTTATCCTCTAAATCGGAGGTCTTCAACAGGGGGTCCGTGACCCCTAGGGGGTCCACAGAGGTACTGCATAGCGGTTGTCAAAGCTTTGGTTGATTAGACTTTTTTTTTTAATATTCCCTCCTGCAATTTTTTCTAATTGAAATGTCTTAAATCCACATTAACATGAAATCAACAGACTGTAGTAAACAGAAGTTTGAATTGGCCAAGGTGTGAATTCAGGCAGGCAGAGTCCAACTTTATTGGCAAATTCAATCCTTGGAGCCAAAGTCTTCTCTTTTAGCAGTTCTCTACTGCCAATGGGAAGGGAGCTAAATGCTCATTGTCGACCCATGTTTGGAAAAACCAGCGTTAACACTGTATTTTCAGTGGGAAAGAGGCTTAAAATGAGTGAGTGGGATTTCTAATTGTTCTTTTGTTGAAAAATACAAACGTTGTCACTGAAGGGGGAAAAAAAATACAGGGAATTTAAGACATTTTTTGGGAGTTTCTGCAGCCCTGAAACTGCAACAGAACCAGAATCCAAAAGAAAAGCTACTTCCTACCATACTGGTTGTTTTAAGACAGTTTAATAGATTTCATCCAAAACCAAAATTGTTTCAATTAGCAGAAATAGAAAAGTTTAGACATGAAGTGAATTAGGGCTGAAACAATTAATCGGGTTAAACGATTATTGAAATAATCGTCAACTAATTTAGTAAAAGATTAATCCTTAACTGGAAAAAATCTAAATCTAGATAAGTCATTTTTTTCTTAAAATAAGTGCATTTGTTTTTGGATTGAGGAGGTAAAAGAGACATTTTGCCAATAGAACAAGACAATTTACATTTGAAATAAGAAAACACAACTGCATTGCCTTATTTCAAGTGCATATTATCTAAATATCTTATTTTAAGAGTAAAAATACTCATTCCATTGGTAAATCGCAGTTACCTACTAAAAATAAGGGTAAATACACTTAATTAAAGACATTTTTACTCATTTCCAGATCATTTTCCAGTGTTAACTGCAGTATGAAGACTTTTAAAACATGTCGTTAGCTGACAGAGCGACGCAATTAGAGCAGCAATTATATCAAAATCGGAAAAAAATATATATAAACATTTTGCATTTAAAATAAAAAATGTTTTCATCTGTCAATCTGCTCTATCCAGAAGTCCTCGAGTAAAAAACCTTCTTTAAGAAACATTTTGCTGTAAGATTATTAATCTATGAATCCAAAGAATAATTGACAGATTAATGGATTTGCAAATAATAGTTAGTTGCAGCCCTAAAGCGAAGCAATAGAAGATCAGACCTAAGCTAGCAGCTCTGACTCAAGGACCCAACAGTCAGCATCCCTGAAGCAGCAATTTTAATTCTAAAACCATGCAACTAAAGAAACTGGCTTCATGTTTGGTGAAAACAGAGTCACAGACGTGGGAAAAGCTGGTAAAAACGGCTCCACTGCGTCTCTGAGCTGCAAGCTTCAGCAGGCAGAGAAACAGTCAGTTTAAAACAAGGAAAACGGAGAATTGAATCATTTCTGGACGGACAGAATCCCAGTGAAATCCCAGCTCAGACTGGAATAAGCCAATAATCCAGCCTCCACATCTTAACCTTCACTTCATTTCACACCACAGAGTCGGTCAACAGCTCTCCATCATTTACTGTTTACTGCATAAAACCAAAACCAGGGATTGACCTGAATTTATCCAAAGTTTTTTATGTTTTCAGTTAGTTTCAAGCAGCTGAGCAGCCGCCGTCTCTGCGTCCAGCTGCTCTGGGACCAGTTGGACAGTCTGGTCTCGTCCTGCAGTGTCCTCCCCGGCGGTCAGCCTAATTCAGAGGTTTAAGGTGAATCTGACTGAAGGAGAAGTGAGCGTGTGGCTGAACATGTCTGCTGCGCTCTGAATCAGGCGGTGGCAGGAGCAGCAGCCCAGGGGTAGGTCACAGTGAGCAGAGGAGGGAACAACACGCTCTCTGGTGCTTCGTTCATCCTTCACATCTGCAGCTTTTACTCGTTTATTCAGTCAGAACATAAAGTCTGCAGCTTAGAACAGCTGTGAGCTTCTGAAATCTGAGGAAAGTAAAACACATGGAGAGGCGTCCCGTTCAGTCTATCAATCAGGCGTGTCAGGAAGGAAAATGGTCAAAGAGGTCTAACTTCACTTGCTCCTCTTCTCCTGTTAATACGGTAAAGCCCTGGGGAGCGTCCGGCTCCAGGCTGCGCGTGATCCAAATGAGCCAATGAGCTGTCAGTCTGGGTTGCTGCTGCTGCTACTTTTAGACACAGCAGGCAAACCTGTGGCAAGCCGGGCGATGGGAAAGAAGGAGAAGACCATGAGAAAAAGAGAGCAGAGAAAGTGTGGACTGCTGGAAGAACTGCGGTGAACTGGTGAAAGAAAAGTGAAATGGCGTGCTCAAAGATGACCCTGCACATTTAGAGGATGTTTGGCTCAACCTGCTGCTGTGAAGCAGGATTCTCCACCATGAACAGAATCAACAATAAATCTGGATCCAGGAACAAAATGAGCTCCTTGATATGTGCTTGAGAATGGCTTAGTCTCTGGTTAAACCCAGGTTTAAAGCCGTAGGGAAGCGGCCGTTCCAACTGTTTCATTTCCGAATTCTCCCGAGTGGTGCCCGACTTTAGATGATTGAATAAAGTGAATGTGATTGGTCGATTATCAAGAGGGCGGGATTGTTATGGTGGAAGGTTTACAAGCAAGTTTGGTTGTGGCCGGTTTGTCGGAAGCATGTTGCTAACCAGTTAGCATCTTAGTGCTAGCAGGTTCCCAATGGGAAATTCCATTGGGACCAAGTAGCACTAAATTGGTGACTTAGAAACGACGCTGTCAAGGAACGCTATGGACAGCGGAAACATGCAAGAGGAGGAGAGTTTAGTGTCGGAGGTCGTGGATGAGTCTCCTCCGTCATCCATTTTTTATTTAGAGGAGGAAAGCGGGGACGAAGATGTTGTGGAAGAGGACGCCAGGGCGGCAGAAGCTTGGTTTGGTGTAGAAGGCTTCCAGCCGTACATGTTTGAGCCCTTGCCTCGCAACGCTGCCAGTTCTGTTAGCTCTACGCCTGCCGAAGACACAGACGTCCATCCCCGTGAACACTGGGACGCAACTCAATGGGAAAGGAAAGGATTCTGGTTTCAACCGCTGCGTATATTAGCTGCGACATATGAATCAAGATGCTATGACCGAAAACATTTGATTGACAGATGACCGTTGATCTACGATTGGTCGAATTTATCCAATCCAATCCAATCCACTTTATTTATATAGCACGGTTTAAATAAACACAAGGTTTCCAAAGTGCTGCACAAAAAGATAAAATAACTAAAATAAATAAAAGTAATAAAATAAAATAAAATAAAAGCACTGCCCGCACAGGATAAAAATATGCATGTGTATACATAAAATCGAATTTAGGTGTTCAGGCTGACGTAGAACTAACTGGCCTGCAGAAGATAACGGGAAAAATACAGATTTAAGGTAGGATTTTTTTTTTTTAATAGAAATTTTCTAAATTTTGGGACAATATCTAATAAAGAGTATATTTATATACATTTATATACATGTTTAAGCCAGAATGATTGGAAATTTAAATATGTTTTCCCTATGACTTTATCCTTTTTTCCCCCTAGTTTTAGCTTTTCTTTGCTCATATTATACACCGTTTTTTTTTGTTTGTTTTTTACTTACACTGATTTTATCCTGGTTTCCAACCTTCTTTTTAAATAACATTTCTATCTTGTTTTTGTTTTCTTAGGTCACTGAGTGCAGTTTGAAGCCCTTAACTTATCAAAGTATTCTAGAGTCAACATCCCATGTCAATCATCACAGATAAAGCAGTACCACAGTGGATCTTTATTTATACCTAAAACTAATACGTTTGCAGTGATTTAATGAATTTAGCGTTAATTAGTAAAAAAATTAAGTAAAAACATTAATTATTGTTGTAATCACTGAGTCTGGGAGCGGCCATTTTTGCCCAAATATAGTAGCCCCTCCCTCCTGCCATCTTCCAGCAGTGACGTCACGGTGCGGTAAGCCTAGCGCCATTCTCCCCGCTTTCCAAGCTAAATCAATGGGAACTACTAGACACATCTGCAATCAACAACAATTATTGAAGGTTTCCAGAGGACTTCACCATTGAAATTCACCAGAGCTATAGTGAAACTGACAATGCCCACGTGCATGGCAGCTGGATGCTGGAATACATCGGGTAAAAGTGAAAAAAAAGAGTTATTCCACCTTTCTGGTTCCTGATCCTCCACGGAC